AAAAAAAAAAAAAAAAAAAAAAAGCAAAACTCTTTATTAGACAATGAGAAAAATGTGAATACTAATTGGACATTTAATTACATTAAAGAATTAATTTTCTGATGTGAGAGTGCTGTGGTTATATTAAAACAACAAAAAAGTGCCCCTACCTTTTTAGAGATGCATGCACAGGCATACATACATATATTTACAGATAAAGTTGATAAGATATACAGGAATTGCTTTGAAACGGTCTGGGAGAAAGGTGCAGGGAGCACTGATATACATGAAATAAAACTGACCATCATTAACTGTTGAAACTGGGTGGTGGGCACAGAAAGGTTATTACAGTACTCTATTTTTATATATGTTTTTAAATGCTCATATTAAAGTTTGAAAAATAATAAAGAAAAAAGAATTGTCCACTGTAGACTGTTAACCTCTGAGGCATTCTTATGTAACATACTGACTGAGCCCACCTACACATGAGGCACTATTCCAGTTGCTAGAGACACAGATATAATAGAGAGACAAGCATTTTAAAATTCCCTACAACACAGCAACTGACAAATGAAACAGATTATTACAGAATTGCTAACACAGAGGAAGAAGTAATTAGAAGCATATAATTCCAGAGATTTACTAATAGTAGTTGAAAAATATAAACATGAACGATAAGCAAATGGGGGTTTTTTTGGTAATCATTTCCCATTCTTTCCTCTGCTGATCCCTAGTTCTCCAATATTAAGAAAGTAGTAAATCAAGGGGCTTCCCTCGTGGCACAGTGGTTGAGAATCTGCCTGCTAATGCAGGGGACACGGGTTTGAGCCCTGGTCCGGGAGGATCCCACATGCCGCTAGGCCCGTGAGCCACAACTACTGAGCCTGCGCGTCTGGAGCCTGTGCTCCACAACAAGAGAGGCTGCGATAGTGAGGGACCCATGCACCGCAATGAAGAGTGGCCCCCGCTTGCCACAACTAGAGAAAGCCCTCACACAGAAACGAAGACCCAACACAGCAAAAATTAATTAATTAATTAATAAACTCCTACTCCCCAACATCTTCTTTAAAAAAAAAAAAAGTAGTAAATCAAAACAAAAATATTATCTACTTACTTCCTCTTTTCTGCACATTGATTTTTATATTATTTGGCAATTTTTGGTTTCCTTTTGTTAAGAAAGCTTAAAATTAAAATTATGACAAATACATCTGGCTACTACTCCTCTCATTATTATTTAACTTTGTTACAATAAAATAACAAGAAGCATTTAATTAAAGTAAAAGAAAACTAAGCAAAGTTAAGAAAAAAACTTATTAAACAATAGCTTGAGAACATTCCATGTAATCATGAATATCAAGGCCATGACACATGGCCTTCTATAAAAACATAGGTAATAATGATAAACTACTAAATTTAAAATAGGCATGTTGTGCTAGCCCAATAAATAGTATTCCTTTCCTACAAATCAGAAACTATATGACACAGAATTATAAACAGACTTCTTTTAAAACTTAGTTTGAAATCCCATACTTAAAAGATTAAACTATTATAAATATCAATACCTATTTATATATGTATACATTTATAAGAGTGGCTTAAACACTTCGAAATAAAATATAAAAATATAACTTTACGGGGCTTCTCTGGTGGCGCAGTGCTTGAGAGTCCGCCTGCCAATGCAGGGGGCACGGGTTCGTGCCCCGGTCCGGGAAGATCGCACATGCCGCGGAGCGGCTAGGCGCGTGAGCCATGGCCGCTGAGCCTGCGCGTCCGGAGGCTGTGCTCCACAATGGGAGAGGCCACAACAGTGAGAGGCCCACATAACGCAAGAAAAATATATATATATATATATAATTTTACAATTGTCCTTTATCATTTTTTAAAGATTTATATTTTTAAAGGATCTTTCAAACTAATAAAATACTAAAACTCTCTTGACTAATATTTTAGTGTAACTGAGCACTGGGTAGGTAATGTTGCAACAAAGCACTATGAAAGATATATATAACACAAAGAAATTAACACATATTACTTACAGAATGAGTCATTCCATTTCATGAAAAAAAGAAGAGACCAGTCACCAATTTCCAGGTCACAACAGAGAGAAGCAAGTAACATTAGATGGAAATAAGACATTGTTTAATAGAAACACAATTCTGAGTACACCACCTAGTTCCTCATGAAGAATTTTCAAGTTCAAAAAAATATGAAGGAAAGAAACGAAATACAGAGAGCAGTTGTAAATCACTGTAAAGCTCCTACTGGGAGAAAGGATTAAATATACAGACTCTTGTTAGGTAATAACAATGTGAGGTGTTACTCAATGTATTGTCTCTGATTAGGCAGAAATATTTTGGGCTGTGGCTATCTCTGAAAATATCCAACTCCAAATTCTCTAACAACCCAGTTCAACCCTACACTCCCACGTGTTGAATAGAAGCAACCAACATAAAAAGGCCAAGCCTCTACACAGAGGTGAGCAGACCCAACATTGGGCAATGCAGCCTGGGTATCACTATTGCTTTTTCAATTATTCTGGCAACAACAGAAATCTACCTCTATTTCAGGAGGCAAAATTTGTTAAAGAAGATCATCAGGCATTGCATCCTTAGAAAACTGACCACCTACAATAGCAATGAAGAAAGAAAATCAGATGAATGAAGCACAAGTGAAAGATAGATTCACTTGCCACAAAAAGTGGAGCTGAAGTATTCAATATCAGTTTCTCATAAACAAAAGAATAAATAACAGACCCAACCATGAAGAGGCATATGGCCCTAGTTCAGTCAAGGCCCAGATATCTGTCCTCTTGATTTATATTCTTTTCATTATACAGCACTACCTTCTCTCAATGATGTCTTAATTAGCCCATTATTAAAACAACTGCATTTACTGAAGACACTGAGCAAGCAGGTCAGATGTGTACATCCCAATCAGCTTGTTCAGTGACCCCAATAGAACCTGGGATACAGCCACTACCCCATTTGCCCAAGGTCACACATTTTTCCAGGCAGAGTTAGCTCTAAAAGAACTCACAGGCTTTGCTTTCCCGGAAAAACAAAATTCTCTCTAAGGCCCAAACACTCAGATAAGCATGTTCTCTTCACAGACACCAAAGGCTAATTTGGCTGCTGTTTCCCACAGATTTTGTCCACAAGAATTCCACATTAGTCTTCTTGTTCTGGGTCCATAGTATACTCTACAGTTCCACCAATCTAAGACCACAACCTGTGAAATTAGAATGTCCTCAGTCCCTTTCATAAAATTATCTTTCTTTCGAAACATTTATGTATTCTAAAAAGCACCCTGTTTCTTCTTAAATTTCACATTCAGACTACTAACACCAATGAGTGTTCATTCAAAGATAACATATTAAACTTCTATTAAATCTATTATGTTGTTTTTATAACTGTTTCCATATACCTTTTCAATACTTAACAGTTCATTTATATGCTAACACATATATTTTCCGTCAAACTATCTAGAGTCTCATCAAACCATAAAAACTTTGAGAGTGAGTAAATTTTACCATACAAATACTTTACCAATAGCACATCATACAAAATATATACTCTTCTTTAAATTATGTGAAATGTTATTTGGTTTTTCTCTATTCTTCCTAATATACTATCTTTCAACTGTATCCAATCCTGAAAATAACTTGAACAAATGCGATATATATGAACCAAATCAAAACAAACTCAAAAGGCCATCTCACTAAAGCAACATATCCCTAATATCATTTGCTCCAACAACTACTGCAGAATAGTTTTTTTTAAGTATCTATAAAAAAGTACCATAACATAAATGTGGTATATCTCCAAACATGAATTATGTTAAAATAATTTCTTAAGTTTAAATAACACAGAGTAGATTGCTAAAAGCAATTAAATGACAACCAATTATTTCATACAGCAAAAATGACATCTCTTTATTAAATGCCAGGTATTCAATTCTATCAATAATTGTCCTGCAGAAGTCATAAATCAATGAGAACAGTATCTACCTGAAAAATGTTCTGAGAAACTTACCATCATTTTGACTCTTGCCCTTCATCTCCTCTTTCCATGATGGGATGGTGTTCAAGGGAACATAGTCCCTTAGGTATTCTTTGCGTCTCTCCTCTACGGTCATCTTCAGCAAACGTTCTTGCAAAATAAAAGCAGAATCTCCATTTGTATTTAACTTTTGAGTTCAGGAATTATTTTACAATTTAAATATTAACCACATTAAACTAACCAAAGAATTGGTGTGGCCTTGAAGAATACCAAAATCAAATCTAATGACTCCGTATTTGAGTGTTAAAAGGTGTCAAATTAATACTACATTAGTAGGAGGAAAAATAAGATCTAAGCCTGATGAGGAAGACGTTCTTGTGATAGTCCAAGAAAGAAGTAAACTCTTTTAAACATCTACTGACAGCCTACTATGTACCAGGTGATATGTTTATACACTGCAGGTACAAAGGTGACCTTTAACTTTGAGGAGTTCACAAGACAAAAGAGGATACAGATAAGATAAAAAATAATAGCTACATAAATACAAAATCCTAAGACAAATAAGTACAAATGCTAACAGCACAAGAAAAGCAGCCACCAAGATATTTACTTAATTCTACAATGCCATCAATAATAAAAGTGCCCTTTCAATTAATAATACCATTGTGGAGGGGATATAAACAATATTTTAAGTATAAATCTTCATTATAAGATTAAAACATTTTAAATACTTTGAGGTAACAATAGCTGATGTTGTTTATAAAGAACACACTGTGTGCCAGGTACTTCACATGTATAATTTTATTAAAATAATCTTCCCAACACTCAGCAAAACTGATAGTATTATTATCCTGATTTTGCAGATAGGGAAATGAAGCACATCAAAGTTCAGCAGTTTGTCCAAAGCAAGAGAGCTTTCCATTAAAATCCACTCAGATATCTCCATTAGTAAAAAACTATAGCCTATACTGTTAGCCACTATACTGTACTACCTTCTCAAGAAAAGCTTCCCAAAGGAGGTGACATGTATGCTCGTTCCTGAAGGACAGGTAGAATTCTGCCATGAAGAGGTAAGAAATAAGGATATTTCAGAGTAGTAGAGCAATGTAAACAAAGATAAGGAGATACAAATAGTTTAATGAAGCTGCAAGATATGTTACGAGGAGGGAAAGTGGCCACAGAATTGAAAAGTAACTAGAAATATAAATTAAAACGAAAATGTACAGAAATCTGTATACTATGCCAAGCCATTTAATCTTATTCTATAAAGTACACCACTAATATTCAAAGTTGACTATTCATATCCTAGAAGGTACATAAAATGATTCACTAGGATGCTAGGGGAAAAAACTAAAAAATTCTATTTATTTCGAACCTAAGGAAATAAATTAGATTTATTTACAAATAAATTACGATTTTCTAATATTCAGTATATAAACTGACACTGGCAACCTCACTCATTCTGTATGTCAGCTGTCATGTATCATATATTTACTTTACCAAAGATCGCCACAATGTAGAGCAATTGACAGTCATACTCTCACTCTCCAATTCTCTTTCAGCATATTACAAAGTATGGTAGTTTAGATGAATGGATTTAAGGACAGCATCTAGTTTTAGGTAATCTAACCCTCATAAAATAATCACTTTAAAAGATTCTTTCACAGAAATAAACTGCAGAAAGTATTAAGGTAAGCACAAGTGAAAAAATGTTGGGCAACCAACATTTCTCCCTGCTCCTAGAACTGGCTTTTCTTCAGCCACAATAGGAGACCAAAAAAAAAAAGATTTTCATCGGATGTGATATATTCAAATCACAATACTCAACACTATATTGAATTTAAGATGCCTAGACCATTCAAGTTGAAAACAAGAATCTGGAACTCAGGAAAGATCTAGCCTAGAGATTTGGAAATTATAACCTAAAATTCTAGGCCTACAGGAAATTCATTGGGGAGGGTAAGACAGGGGACCAAACCTCAAACAAACAACATTTAGGGAGTGAACACAAAAAGGAAAAAAAATGAAATAAAACTTAGATGTCACTGAAGGTACAAGGTGAATCAAGGTCCCACTGAAGTGGAAACCAGCAGAGAAAAGAGTTTTAATGAGGAGAAAAGGGGAAATCTTGTCAACTGCTACAGAAAGATCAAAAAGAATGAAAATTAAGCCATTGGTTTTTATCAACTGGGTCAAGAACAACACTGAAAAGAGAACAAAATGGTTAACAGCTGTCTGGATTCTAACATCAAATCATGTAAATCTATGTGATCTTGTATAATCTCTCTATGGCTCAGTTTCTTTTTCAGGTAGGTATTATTCCGAACTTACAGATGAGGCAACTAAGACAGAGAGGTTGAATAACTTACCTAAGGTTCCGCAGCTAGTAAGCAGTACAACTAGGATTCAAACCCAGGCAAAAGGTGTTATAAGTTCTTGACCTTAAAATACACTACCTCACAGGGTTGTTGTGAGAATTAAATGAGATAATCCAAGTAAGTTACTCAAAATAGTGCTGGGCACACAAACAGGACTCAAATAGTAACTATTTTTATATGAGTACCATCATCATTGTTATTACTGAATGATTTTAGGAACATTAGTTTCCTTGGAGCATAACTTGAGATCCAGGGGATTTTGAGGGACTGAGGAAAAGAAGGAAAGTGAGAACAGCAACTCCAAGGTGAAGCCCTGTGGAAGGAAGGCTACCTTCCTTGATCATTGTTATAGGATGAGGAGAGGAACCCAAAGACACTGAGAAACTAAACATACCCAAAAGACAATAAATGATAGTATAAGATCTCAAATAATACAGATGAGATAAAGGGCACAAGCAGAGGGGTTAATTCTTAGAAACAAAGGTGAAAAGTGCTTCCTCTAGAAGAGGAAGAAATCTGAAAGAACAACAGACATGTAAAGAAACAAAAGAGACTATGGAAAATGTTAGGGCTGTTCATGTTATATGACATGTATTTTCTCCGTGAATTAAAAGGCAATGTCATCTGTTTAGTATACGAACTTAAGGTCTTGATGGAATAGGAAACTTGAAGGGAATGGTAAATTTGAAATAATCACACGGAGGAGGAAAAGTGATGACTAGTGTTTACCAAAGCACTACTAAAAAAGCTCAGATCACTAATACGGAAATACAGCAATATCAACGATCAGGATGAAAGATATTACAGAGCAACTTGTATTTTCAGTAAGTTTCAGAAGTCCATATGGGAATGCAACCTGGCCTCTGTCATTCCATTTACTTAAAAGTTTAAGTGTGGACACTTAGGAAAAAAACAAGATGAATAATAAGACAATAAGATAAAACACTGAGAATTTAACTTTCAGTACTTGAAATGATAATACCCATTGAGTGGTTTTGAACTAGGACACAAAATATTAAATCAACACCGTTTAGTTAACCTATGTGGACTTGAGAATTCCTTAGTTATTTATTTAAACGATGAAACATACTGGGGGGCACAGTCATATATACGGTTTCTTCAGCTTTACACAAAACTTTTCCTTAAAGAATGTTTCACCTTTGCAGATGTACTTAGTAGATGGTATACTGAGTTAAAATATATTTAAAGAATGCTTTGACATTTCAATGAGGTGCATAAGCCTTCCTTTAGATTTAAATAACAGGTACAAAAACACGATACCACCCTCTCCAGTACAATTCAGAAGAAGGTCACGCTTTCCATCAGCTTCTTAATACTAACTACTGTCCTGGAAATCCTCACCTCCTTCTTGATGGTATAACATATGGGTGTATATATATATATATATATATGTTCATTGAAGCATAGTTGACTTACAATATTATACTTTACTAAATATTCCAAAAATAGATATCCTGATAAGACGCTGACACACTAAAAAGTCTTCAAGTCACAATAACTTTCTCTTTTAATGCAAAAATATGTTAGTTTTGGACAAGAGAAAAATGTACTTTGTTAACTGCCTTCTTTAATTGTGCATTTGCTTCTCTGTTTAGATAATATTAATTTGGTAATATTTTCCCCTATTATTAGAAGTAAAAGAAGGAAAAAAAAATCAAGACATTAAAGTTTTAAAAATGCTTGCTTATGAAAGTCCAACAGTGTAGATGTTAAATGAAGGAACCATTATAACACTGTTACTTTAGGAACATTATTATGACAGAAAAATATAATAGTTCTTAAGTAATTGCTATAATTTCATCAATTATTCATGTATTGAAAACAATCTCCAGGTTTTCCACTATTTTGCCTTCATTATTATCAATAATACAAACCTAACATTTCAAGACCATCAATAAAAATGGGCATAAAAGAATTTTCAGTACTTACAAGGTAAATCCTTGTTGAAACTCAAATAACTTCTATTGCGAAAACAAAGCAAAACTATTTTACGCTACTTTATATATCAGCCTATTATTCTCAACAGCATTTGATTTGCAACACCAAAATTTAGTTCTATATATGACAATAATCATTAAAACATAATTAAATGGCATAGTCTGTCAATATTTAAAGACCATTTTAATTGGGTTGTTCAGTTATGCTATGTTAAATCTTCCCAGTAGTTAATGTGAAAAAAAGTCCCTCCTCATCCCCTTCCTCATGCATTGCTTTAAGTAAGCCCCTACATAAAGGATTTTTTTCCCCATATTCATTCCCTTTCTTTCATCCACTGTTTGGTCTTATTTATAAAGACCAGCAGTTGCAGTAAGAATCCACAGATTTTAAAGAACTATTATCAAAGAAATTAACTTTCACTCTAGTCACCCCTTTATCCTTGTTCTATAAAAAAGATGAGATACTTAGGAGAGATTTGCACTTCCCTCACTCGAACTCACTCCTGATACAGAGCAGTAGCAGTGCAAATACTTTTTACATTTCTGTACAATCAGCTGCTAAAGAATTTTTTTAAAAAAAGAAAGAAAAGAAAAAAGGAAAGAGAAAAGGAAGGAAGGAGAAAGAGAAAGAAAGAAAGAAAGAAAGGAAAGAGAGAGAAAGAAAGAAAGAAAGAAAGAGAGAAAGAAAGAAAGAAAGAAAGGAAAGAAGAAAGAAAGAAAGAAAGGAAAGAAAGAAAGAAAGAAAGAAAAGGAAAGAAAAGAAAAAAAAAAAAAACTACAGAGACTCAAGTTTTACCCTGGAATATTCCCTAACTATGATGCCAGAGAAAAACAGGGAGGGAGATGGAGAAAAGAGGGTTGGGTCGCACACCTCTGTGTCTCATCGACATCAGCGTCACCGTCAACCTGGCTGATGTGGATAAGCTTTGGTCTGCAAGAAACTCAGGGATGGGCTCATTCACAGAGAGCGACAGCAGTCTCATACTCTTACTCGGAGCAACTTCAGACTATGAATGGGGATGGAGTCTAGAGGAAGTCACTGCAGAGAAAAGCCCATTCAGACTTCTCCGACTGCACTTAGCCTCGCGGACAAGACCCGCTCGTTTTAGTTTCCCCCAGAGATCCAGGTTTCAAAAGTCACACTGCGGCGCAGAAACAGGGGCCCCTGGCTGAACACCCGAAGGTGGGGACGCCCAGCCAAAGGATGGGCAGGAGACAGCGGACAGAGGCGAGGGGTGAACGTCTGAGGCTCGGCGGGCGCGGAGCAGCAGCAGCAGCTGCAGCCAGGGTGTCAGCTGGCGGGCACGTATCCGCGGGACACCCGGGCCGGGAGTCCGAAAGTCCCAGCTGGGGTCCGGGGACAGGGTGCGGGGGCCTGAACAAGCTGTACGAAGCCCGCGGGCCGCCACGCGGCGGTCCGCGCCGCTAGCGGGGCAAAGGTGACCGGGCGCAGCGGGCGGCAGAGTGGGGCGTGCGCCCCACACGTGCGCTAGCGGCAGGTACCCGGGGGCGGCGCGTGCACGCCGGCGTGCGCGCGCGTACGCGCGTGTGTACACACGGACC